ACACACACACACACACACACACACACATGCATACATACTAACATACATACATATGCACATACACACACATACACACACACATAGAATCTACATACACATACTTGGTAAAACTAAACCCAAACACAACATAATAACAAGGCCAATTTTACGTTCTCACACCCCAGAAAAACAAAATTCTAATTTACATCGCCTGTCTTATTTCAATCTTCAGTTCAACACAGATCAATAAAAGAAAACAGAGGTACCCGTTATGATTGAAGAAAGCATAGGCTTCCCTTCCAAATCTCTATCCCCCCCTTTTTCCCGCCCTAGAAAAACAAAGACAAAAATAAATAAATAAAATCTACACACATGCACACACACACTTTTATCGCTGTGTTACGTTTCATTTAAGGGAGACAATTGTCTTTATTCACGGTGCAGCAGACAACAAGTAGTTATTTCCCTTTAAGGCACGCTCTTCTTCTCTCTCTCTCTCTCTCTCTCTCTCTCTCTCTCTCTCTCTCTCTCTCTCTCTCTCTCTCTCTCTCTCTCTCTCTCTCTCTGGGGTGAAGGGTGATCCATCAGTTCGGGCACGCAAAATGTAACGAAAAATTGTGGTTTGGTCCATAAATAGCTTTCTTATAGGCCTACAACCATATTTTGCTTTGCAGAACAATCTACACTCAGGGTACCCAACTTTTCACCCATTCCCTTCCATATCGCTCCTTCAATCACTAGAACTAAAAGTAGGCCAAGAATCTACAAAGCCTAGATAGATTGACCTAGATTAGATCTAGATCTAGAGTGGATGTACCCCCAACGACACAGTTGCATGCCCAGAGACACAAAGTTCAAAGGCCGATTTTCTGTTCCTTGAACTTGATTTGGGAGGCCGCTGCAGAGGAGTCAAAGAAACGAGTGGACCAGTTCAAACCATTCAAGTTCACCAAGGATCAGCCTACACGCATGCACTTTGTCTGGACAACAACACCAGGTGTCACTATTCACCAGTGGTTGGATTTAGATGAACGAGTTTACTTTTTTACTTTTTTACTTGTTTTTACTTGTTTATTTTGCACAAACTCAAGAAGCTCGCCACTGGTATAATTCTACCTAAAATAAGTTTGCATAGTTTTGCATTTTAATTATGTTTGGAAGTAAAAAAAACGTTTATGAAGAATACAAGGGAAGTGCTTTGATTTCTTTTCTCTTTTCTCTTTTTTAAACTTTTATTTTGATGCTTTTGAAATTTTGAAGTGTGTACTGGAAAGTTACATTGCCAAGTCTTTTGTTGAAGCCTGTGAGCCCAAAGTACACATATGTGAGTCTGCGTGGTGGAATCAGGCTCTCGTCAAAATAATCAAAGTGAAGAAACATGCATTTTTCCGCAGGTTTGTGAATTTTTATCAAATATTTGTTTTTTAGCTGAACACCTTTCATGCCCATTTAAGAACTCATTTCTGTGTGGATTTTTCTGAAAAGCGTTGATCAAAGGCACACAAATGTAAACTTTCAGTTACCACGGACTCTTAAGCTAAGGAAATAACTAATCTTTGGCGGCCACTTTCTCTCTAATTTTACCTCTGAAAACAGGTGACCCCCAACTCCTTCATTCGCAAATATCTCGACTTGTATTCAGGTTAAATGGATATTTTTAATCCAAATAAAGACAAGTGAATAAGCTTTAAGATGATACCAATAACTCTACATTCCCAAAAATTAACGAGAGCCTGATTCCACCTCGCTGCCTCACATATAAAACTGCCAAGGGTTGTGTCATTTTGTTCTCTGGTTCTATGTTTTCACGTGGCATTTCAATAATGTAATGATTGTGGGTTTGAAAGTTGCCAATAAAAATGTTTAATTTTATTCATTTGTCTGTTTCCTTTGATTGTGAAGTGTGAGACACTGCGTATCACACAGGGATGACGGTGGTTCCAAAATGTCCTGGAGGTTCCCAAACATCCTGCCGCCAGGTGCAGGATAAACGGGAATGGTTCCGAAATATCCTAGGATTTTTGGGAACCAGTTCCGATTTATCCTGGCTCCAAAATATTCTACGACACCGGGATATGAACTATATGAAAGTAATAATTATTAAGGTTTGGCTATAGATGGTTTTGACATTATTTTTCCCCAAGTGGAAAGACGAGTGAACAGTTTTGACCTATTTTTTGAAGGACATTTCAAGGCTCAAGTGTGGTTTGCTCCTTCTTTCCTATTAAACACCTGTCGTTTTCATCTCTCCTCCTTCTTTTCTTTGTGTATTACTCTCTAGTGCCATCTTTAATTTTCGGCACTTATTTGTGTTGCTTACTTAAACTGAAACTAAATGGCGGAAAAGTCAGAAAACTGTTGTATAAACAAGCCTAGTTCAAGAATGCACTTTTTGGGTTGGAGAAAAACAAATTTGTTTGTTTTCCTTTTATTTCTTTTCTTGGGGAGGGGGGGGGGATCTTTCTGTGCTTTCGGTGTTTTTTGTGTCGTTGTTTTTTTCTTCTTGTCTTTGTGGTTTTTAGAATAATTTGTTATTGGATTCGTTTGGTTTTTGGTTTTTTTTGGTTTTTTGGGGTGGGGGGGGGCAAAGCCAGGTTAAATGAAAACCAGAGTATGTGCACGGGAGAAAGGGGGGGAGGGTATGCGGAAGGGAGAGAAAAAAAGGGTATCTTTTGAGGAGGAGAACCATTTTTCTGTAACATTGCACATCATGTTACCGCACATATATATATAAAAACCACACAACAGAAATTATGTAACAATTCAGGAAAAAGGGTTTAATAGAAATACATGTATACAATTTTCTTTCGGTTTTCTTGGCTTCATGTGTATATTTTTATTTTGTTAGCATTTTCACGTACATTTCTTCTTTTTTTAAAGTTCTATTAGAAATGGGCGGTAGGGACTTGGGGGGGGTTACGAAAGAAATGTTACATGTCAATGATATATACTGTGGAAACAACAGATGAAAACTGATAGACAGCTAGATTGCTAGATAGCATAGATGAATAGAATTTTTTTTTTTTAATTCAACATGAAACTAGTCACTTCCATTATCGTTGGCGGTTTCTTTTCTTTCTGTTGCATCAGCGTCTTCGGGCACAGAATCTTCGTCTCGTCTGTCGTTTCTGAGCTTTCTCTCCCTCGTCACTGTTCGTTGACGCACTCGGGTGTTGTCGTATTCTTCTGTCATCTCTCGGGTAACTTCAGTTCCTTCGCCATCCGAGCTCCCATGGTCGTGAAGAACGTTTTGATTTCTGTTCCTCCACATATCGGTAAGTCGGTAGAAAAGTAATAAATTTATATAGGTCCACGCTGCCCCGACCAGACCAATAAAGCACAGTGTTAAATTACCAAAGCCTTTCACACCTGCTCGTTGTAGCTGCGAGATGACAGAGGTGCCAAAGCTGTTGAAGAGAGGATAGGAATGAATATTAATATTATACAGGCGGCAGTACATTGTAGTAGTGTAGTAATAAGACACTGGGTCTCTGCCGCCCATGCGGGACAGCTTATCTTAGAGAGAGAGAGAGAGAGAGAGAGAGAGAGAGAGAGAGAGAGAGAGAGAGAGGAGATGGAGAGAGATTGAAAGATAGAAGGAAAGAGAAAGAGAGATAGAGATGGAGAGATAGGTAATTCATTTCCGTGTCTGTGGCGGCAATATCTCTTTATAAGTTAACGAGTTGTAGCTTAATATTATAGGGGAAACCACAAAGCCACAAAGGGAGGGGGGATAAAGGAGTGTCTGGCTGCGATGCAGGGGTGCTGGGGGAGGGGAGGTTGGAGGATGTGACAGGAGGTGGAAGGTGGAATCAGAGTCAACATGAAGGTGGGATGA